GTTGCGAGTTCTTGCGGGAGCCGCTGCCGTATGTGGATACGAGGATGGATCGGAAGAGCGGCTTGAGGCAGGGCAGGTTTCCTGCAACGATACCGACGTTGCATTCGACGACGGTCCAGATGGTCATGTCGCGCGAGTCCCAGAGGAGGTCTCCTTCCCGGCCGTAATGAGGGAGGTAGGATAGTTTGACCAAAGCGGCGACTGTAGCGAATGTACCAAGGCCGAGGATACAGATGAGGGACGCTTTGTGACGGCGGTTCATTTGGACGCCCCACAGCATAGGAATCTACATGGATACGTTAGCACAGTCAATGCAGTAGTCAGTTTTCGGAAACACTTACAGGTATTCCCACTGAGAAGGCAATATCGGTGATGATATTCAGTACGATGTTCAGAAACCCGAGGGCTTGTCTGGTCTGGATGGTCCAGCATGTGCCTTTGGCGCTTTGATCCCACATGAGACTTAGGGGTTGGCATTGCGTGACCACTGTAAGGGCGCAGCCAATGGTGTAAACCGTCATGAATACTAGGACTGGTTAGCTTCGCATGTTGCTATCAGAGAGTTATGCACTCACCCATGATGCCGATAATCAAGCGCCTGTATAACCGTCCGACCGCAATCCGAAGGAGAAAGAACCCCACAGAGACCTTGACGAAACATATGGCGAACAAGAAGATCGGCTGCGAAATGAGGTTCAACCTCAGAGCGGCTACGAAGTCTTCCTGCTTGATATAGTCGATGTGTTTTCCTGCCCCCATGTGAACCTGTGGTATAACAAGGCATTGACCAGCAATGCACTGCAGAGTGTTAGCAGTGTACGGTAATCCCAAGAACACTCGTCTCATACCAATGTCATAGCCAACAGCATCACATAGTCCTAGTCGCACAAAGTCAGTGTTGTTCACCCATGCCTTGCCAGCGGAGTACTCACGTCCCAACCAACATTTCTGATCATCTTAACTCGGACATAGAACCTCGCAATCGTCGTGAGCACGGCCACGACGGTGACGGTTAGCGTGCTCGCGAGGATGGTAGGACCCTGATCTTCGTAGGGTCGCATTGGTGGCATGGCTGCGCCGCTTTGCTGCATTGTGGGAAGCACGTCAATTGAAGGTGAAGGATTCCAGATCACGCAAGTTTTTCGACGTTCCAGCAAGATGCTTGCACTATATGCAATATAATACCAGCGAGCGGGAGTTCGCGACGACGTCAGGGGTTTCACATGGCGTACGTCTTGAGACCAGCAGCTCCTGTCTGCAAGACCTTAAACCGCCACACGGAAGGACGGAGAGAATACAGTTAACGCGAACCTTGTTTTCTGGCATCTGCGATCCATCACGCGGCGCAAGAGGTCGGGCTCATCGAATCTGGTACCGAGCCATAACGACATGTGCTGGCGAGAAACCGTCTGGACTAGCCTCGCTACACCTGGAAGGAATGGTGGCTGTGGACGGCTGATTCGAGACGAAAGTATGGGTCTTTGCGTGGCAGACTGACGGGGCAGGAAATAGTATCCCTTGATCCAAGATTACCCCTGCAGACGCAGAGTCTCAAGTGCAGGGTCTCGGGCACGGCGCTCGTAGTGTAATCTAAGTGCGGTCCTAAAGAACCTCGGGAGTTGCGACGGCACTGGCGACGGCACTGAGCTGTGGCTGAACGCCCAGTGTAGCGGTACGTTCTGACAGTAGTGTATGGGTTGAATAGTCATTGAAGCTGTTCTTCGTGCTATCATTCAGTGAATATGAATGACCCTACCCGGAAAAAGCAGACAAAGATGCGTAACTGCGCTACCGGCCACGTGGGTATGAAGCTGCCAAGGTAAGGCCGCGAGGGAGTACCCAAAGTGCCGCATGAACCTCACTCTAGAAATCGTTAAAGCGAGTGATGAAGAGCTAGAAGCTGCATGTCATACCGTTTACTGCACATCTTCGAAACTAAACCCACTGCACTGTGCTAGTCTAGAGCACGGGCCTGTGGAGGATGATTTCGTCAATACGGAGTACAACCGAGCATTGACAGGAGAAGAGAGGAGCCCGCAGAACAAATTGAGGACATAGATGGTATCAGGCCATGAAGAGAAGGGCCGTTGCGGGAAAGTAGAGTGAGCAGATCCCCCGGGCCGCGTAGGCTGTGCTTGGACACGTCGTCTGCCGGTAAGCTCGAGAACAGGCGGACACCATATTGCAGTACATCTACTGCAAACCGAGGCAGGACTGAATAGAGCTGAGAGATCGGCTAATATCTGCTGCGCTTGTCGCTTCCAGGCGCCTTGTAAGGAAGGTCGTAACAGACGGCACGCTTCCAGAGACTCGAAAGGTGGTGCGTAAGCCAATGACTGCGCCAGAATGGGGCCTCCCGTGCGGCTGCACGTTAGATTCGCAATCGAGATTAACCGGTAGCTTGGAAGCACTGGAGGCCTCACTGGCCTTGCGCTCGGTGTGAATATGGAGTGGAGGAAGCGGGACGGGGAGTCGGCAAGACGGATCTCATCCCTTAGCGTGGCCTAGCGCCATGGCATGATTGCGCCACCAATGTGCAGCGGCATAGAATGCTTAGCAGTCTTCACCTAACACGCACGATATCCGAGCGACCAGACCCGATGTAGGCTCCTGAATCATGGAAGGATCAGTACACTTTTCAGGGAATTTTCGTATACCACATGGCTTGCCGCCAGGATGAATATTTCCTCTCCTGCACGTGGGCGGGTCGCGGCTCATTATGCAGGTCTCGGACGTGACGACCTGCAGACGTGGAACAGACTGGTATCAGGGCATCCTCGGCAGGAAAAGATAGATGTACGGATATGACCGAGGTAGAGTTGTCGAACTACTTGTTGTATGGGTAACTAACGATGGCGGAGCTCATACATTACTCGCAGCCGGCATGATTCAGAATGCTGCGCGCCCATCATGTTCCCGCGCATCAACTTTGGGTCTTTATCCAAACGACGCTAGGCCCGTGGCCATCCGAAGACCGGGCAGCCTTGACATGACACTATGGGTACATCGGGGCCATATGAGTTGTCCGGCAAGCTACTTCCGATCTTGCCATGCACATGTCGCCGAACGATGGTTCTTCGTATGGACTCGCTTGAGGATACGACCCGGTTCATAGGTAGCCCGCCAATCTAGCCTCAGGGTCCTTGCGCTCAGGGCATGAGTATAGTCGGAGATGGGTAGGCACAGGCTCCAGGCACCGAAAAACTATTGGCCCCACACGTGGCATCGCCTTGCCTTGCTCCAATTCTTCGCCAGCAGACGGAGATAGCAAGACTAGATGCGGTGTACAGCACTGTTCCAGCAAGGTCGTGGTGGCTTCGGCATGTACTCGCCACCAACCCCGGCAGTGAGCATGGCAAGCTCAATCGGTAGCGGTGTATGGCCATCTCTTCGAAGTATATGTATAGGAGCGGCACGTTTTTCTTTTGCTCATCAGCACTCAGCTTCTTCTGCTAAACAAGCCACTTCCTGATCCATCAGTTCCATTGGTCAACAGACAATATGCGTTTCAACTCCCCCATCGCACTGGCCCTGCTCGCTGGAACTCTATCACACGCGCTACCAGCTCCACAAGATGCGCCGATAGACCCCTCCTCGCTACCAACTGCTCCCTCGAGCGATCCTTCTGTCGCCAGCGATCAACTTGAGCAATTGGCTCTGTTCGCTCAGCAACAAGTCGAGGAAGCACTTGCAGCAACTTCGTCAAAGCGAGCCGCCTGCACCTGGAACAATGTGTCGGTACGCAAAGAATGGAGCGCCCTGACGAAGCCGGAACGCAAAGCCTACACCGATGCCGTACTCTGCCTCCAAAAGAAGAAGGCTAACACGCCTGCTTCACTCATCCCAGGAGCAAAGTCTCGCTTCGATGACTTTGTTGGCAACCACATCCTGAAGACCATGGAGATCCACTACACTGGTACCTTCCTGGCATGGCACAGGTACTTCACGTGGCAGTACGAGCAAGCTCTCAAGAACGAGTGCGGCTACAAGGGCACTCAGCCCTACTGGGACTGGGCAAAGACTGCTGCTAGCGGTCTCGAGAAGTCGGCTATGCTCGACGGATCTGCCTCTTCCATGTCCGGCAATGGAAAGTTCATTCCCGGTCAGGGACAAGTTGTCATCGCAGGCAGGGGCGAACCATACATCTACATCCCCGCCGGTACCGGTGGCGGCTGTGTAACGAGCGGTCCATTCAAGGACATGAGTAAGCCATCGATACATACACGACACGTTCATTCAGGTACTAACAATCATTCCAGAGGTCAACCTTGGCCCAGTCGCTCTGAGCACAACCAACGGAACTGAGATCGCAAACGGCGACGGCCTCTCCTACAACCCCAGATGTCTGACGCGCGACTTGACCGACTACAGCAACAAGAAGTGGGCCAACGCGACCGCCATCGCCGACCTCATCATCAACAAGAAGGACATTTGGCAATTCGAGATGGTCATGCAGGGTGTACCAGGAACAGACAGCCTGGGTGTCCACGGCGGTGGTCACTACTCCATGGGCGGTGACCCCGGACGTGACTTCTTCGTCTCGCCCGGTGACCCGCTCTTCTACCTCCACCACGCGCAGATTGACAGGACTTGGTGGATCTGGCAGCAGCTCGACCGCAAGAAGCGCACGAGCGAGGCTGGCGGTATCTCGGGTACTGGCACCTTCTTGAACATGCCTCCCTCGGCCAACACGACCTTTGACACGACTATAAACCTTGGCTATGCTGCGGATGGAACAGAGAGGATGGAAGATCTGATGAGCACGACTGAGGGACCTTTCTGCTACATCTACGTATAAGCTTGAATGACCGTTATGACACGCAGGTATGCGACTGTATATACAAAATAATTAGTAATTAGACATGAAACCAGCAAGTTTCGAAGAATCAACCCAACATCCACGGTGTGTCGTTCTGCGTATGTTCCATAGAGGACGCCATGGCCTGCTCAGGTACATCCGTCGCAACTGCCGAGCCCCGATCCAGATCCACATCTTCACGATGACGTATACGTTCTAGAATTCTCGCACACCACGCAGCAGCATCCATCGCGTTTAAACTCCGATACCACCGAGATATTGCTATGATGGGGCTAACAGTAGTTATCGAGCCAGGGTCGAGATTGGCTGGTGGCGGCGTCGATGATGTTTCCATGATCGCTACAGCATCGCTATAAAGACGCGCATTCCCAGCCAAGCTTTCCACAACTACCTATCAACGAAACACTTGAATCAAAACCACATCATGTCTCTCAAATACAACATACGCCTTCGACATCACCAAGCTAGACGAAATCCCCAAATTCGTCAAAGATGTAACAAGCGCGCACCCAGACCTCGACTCCATCTTCCTCAACTCGGGCATCCAGCGCGGCTTCGACTTCTCCAAGCCCGAGACCGTGGATTTGGATGTGCTAGAAATGGAGTTTAGGACGAATTACCTATCCTACATGCACCTCACCACAGCATTCACTCCCTTCCTGCAGAAACAAGACAACGAAACCTCACTCATCTACACAACCTCCGGCCTCGCCCTGATGCCCCTCCCCCGCTGCCCAAACTACTGCGCTTCCAAAGCGGCACTACACCACATGATCCTCGTCCTGCGACACCAGCTAGGCAACGGACCGGGCAACATCAAGGTCATTGAGATCTTCCCGCCTGCGGTACAAACGGAGTTGCATGATGAGAAGCATCAGCCTGATATCAAGGATGGAGGCAATATTGGTATGCCGCTAGCGGAGTTTACGGAGGAGGCGTGGAAGGGGTTGGTGGAGGGGAAGGAACAGATTCCGGTGGGGTTTGTGGGCAAGGCGTTTGATGCGTTTGAGAATAAGAGGCAGGAGATGTATAGACAGATTTTCTTGGAGGAGAAGTGAGTATGTAGTGAGGTATGGAGGGCTATTGATAGATGAGAGATGATAGAGTGGGGCCTGTTGGTACCTAGAAATTCAAGCCACATTTGGACCCTGATGTATAGGCGCAAGGAGATGTGTCGTTGAGAAAACCATGTTTTGCTATGAGCAAATGATCGCAAAAGAAACAATGCCATCAGATGCGTTCCTAGTAAGATCAATGGCTGTTTCATTAAATAAATAAAGTCGGGGCAGTTGCGCAGCCAACACGCGCACAGCCCCAATGCGGCGCAGACGTTCCGAGTGGTGTGGGTGCTAGGCGTGCTCCCGCCCGTATCAACTCCACCCCGTCTCACCAACTCCCGTCGCGCATTCTCTGACCGACTTCTCCTTACAATCTGCCTGAGCGTCTTCATTGAACTGATATTTGCGCATTACACGCGACAGGGTAACTCAAAACACACTCATCATGGCGGACAGCTTCAGAAACGCGATGATCAACCGGTCTCTCCGCGACATCAAGAACGTAAGCAGCTCTAGCCCCTACCAATGGCCTCATGTTAACGGTGTATGTGTAGAACCTCGAATTCCTCGTCGAGTCCAACGTCCTCACCCCGGCGCAACACGACACCATCGCATCCCAACTGCCCGTCTCAGCGGAAAACAGCGCGCGCGCCCTCCCCGCCGTGCCCGTCGCCCAACTCTCTTCGATGAACATCCAGAGCGAGCCCACGCCTCCGCCCGAGAAGAAGAACCCAGCAAACATCGGCTACTACGCCGACAACACCGCCAACGCACCACCCCCAGCCTACCCCTCCGTCCCCGCCACACCCGCCGGTCCCCCCGTCCTCGCCCACGCCTCAGCAATGTACCAGTACAACGCGCAAGACGCCGGCGACCTCGCCCTCATGCCCAACGACAAGGTTGTTGTGACAGAGTACATGAACAACGAGTGGTGGAAGGGACGCAACGAGCGCACGGGTATGGAGGGTATCTTCCCTGCTAGCTACGTCCGCAAAGAGGAGAAGAGTGTTGTGCCTGCTTACAGTGGGGCGCCCGCACCGAGTAACTACGGTAACATGCCGTTGGATGTTGCGAGTGGTGCGCAGCAACAGGGACAAGTAGGACAGCCGGCGGGTGAGCCGAGCAAGATGGAGCAGAATGGAAAGAAGTTTGGTAAGAAGTTGGGGAATGCGGCGATTTTTGGTGCGGGTGCTACGATTGGTGGAAATATTGTCAATTCGATTTTCTAGATGGGGTAGTGGAAAAGATGGGATGGATGGAGGGATGGGTGCGAGGATTGCGCCCTGGCGTTCTGGGTTGTTTTTGGGTTCGTTATTACGATGGGTTCGCTGCGGTCTGGTATAGGATGAGTCTGGTTTCTATCGGAACTAATGTGGTATAGGAAGATTGAATATGAGATTTCTTCGCTTGTCAACAGACACACCAGCACTCTTGTGACAGCGTGGTTGTTTGCAGTGCATCATCGCCATCGAGTCCCATTCCAAGGCCACATTCGCGCCGGCATTGACATACCGCTGAAGCGTTTGACAAGCCTACCAACAGACCCAACAACATACCAGTCAATTGTACTGCGCTCCTTCGTTTGCACATCAATCGCATCAATACACACACGTCAACCTTCCTTACTGGACAACTCCTTGACTCGACGCTGCTACTCACGTCACTCACTGTACACGTTCAACAAGTCCTCCACTTAACCGGGGCCCCGGCAAAAACATTTCTTCTTCATGAACCGTCGGCAACCTCAACCCCTCGAGCCACCCAGTTTCTCCGCCGTCCAGCAAGGCAACTTCGGTATCCCGGCTGCAGTCTCGAAATGGAATCCCTTGAACAGACCCGCAGCCCCTACACAGCATCCAAGCTCTTCACCCGTATCTCCACCCCGCGAGCCAGCACCTAGACAGCGAAACAGATCGTACGCCCCACTCTCCCTCGCACACTCCTCTCCCCACCCCCCTCAACCAACACTCCAAACATAACTAACAAAACACAGCATGTGGTCCCAAGCCCTCATCCTCTTCAACACCCTCGGCATCCCGTTGTCTTCCGGCACAACACTACAACACCATTTCACAACCCTCTTCCCTTCGCATCCCCTAACGACCCTCGCTCTAATACCGAGTCTCCAACTGCTCTTCCTCTTCGCCTCACCCTTACCCGTCGGGTATCTATACCGCCGCTGCCTACCCTCCTCCAATTCCCGTCCCTGGGGCTGGAGAATCCTGTTCGGAACCAGCATCGTCATAGCCATTGCAAGTCAGTTCTCGTTGTATGCCACGCGGAGTTACATCGTAATTCTACTACTCCAAGGACCCGTCCTAGGCACCGCACTAGGGTCTTGTTTCACCATCAGCAGTCTAGTCCTCGCAGGCCACTACAAAAACGACGTCCCGCTCGTATCCGTACAATCAGGTTTCGCCGGCTTCGCAGGCGCAGTCGTATATACCTCCTTAACCAGATTTACCTACTCCAGCAGTGAAGCCGGCAACGCAGCGCGCGTCCATCTCTACACCGGCGCCGTAATGTCCGCCACGCTGCTCACCGCGTTCTTCCTCCTCGCTCGCCTCGATCCAGTGAAAGAGAGGGAGTGGATAGACGGACATACACTGCGTCTCCGCATGCCCAAATACCTCCTCCCCGATTTAAAAGGCGGCGGAATGTGGTTTCTCATAGGCTACATGCTCATTTTCGCGGGTATACTGGTGTATCCCTTCTACAGCATCCTGCTCCTGACCCAACCCCCCGGCCTCTTCTTCCCAGATAGAGCGACATACAGCGTCCTTACCATGTTGAGTGTCGCCGCTATCTCCGGTTCCGGCGTCGCCAATATACACGCGTTGAGGCGCGTTGGAGCTGTGAATACGTTTGTTGCTGCAAGTGTGCTGGGGGGTGCGGTTTGTCTTGCGCCTGTTGTCTATCCGAAACTCTATCTCGTTGTTTCTCTCGCAGCCGTTTATGGGATGGCGCTTGGGGCGGTGTTTTCGCTGCATATGGTTGTGGCGGCGAGTTTTCTTAGTAGGAAGGTAGGGGGGAGGTGGGAGGATGATATGCCGGCGAGGGTTGCGGTTGGTATGGTCCTGGTGGGTTTGGCTGCTTTTGGTGGTGTTGTTGGGGCTGCGGCGTTGATTGAGGGGAGTGAGCTGGGTGGGCGGATTGCGATGAAGGTGGCGGGTGCTTGTATGATTGGTGGTGGTTTTTTGGTTGGATGCGCGAGGTTGTGGCGATGGAAGACATTCTTTTACGCCGTCTAGAGTATATGATACATTTTCGGGGACTGTCAAGGATTGTAGTATCATGTTGTGTATTGGATTTTTTATTGATGCTATGTGTAGCAACTGGGGTATCAAATTATGTTATTAAGTATCGCCGTCCCACCTCTTCACGCAAGCATTATGTGCAAAGGAACCTGCGCATCCAAGCATTACCCTTCTCCTCATCCGCATCCCTAGTCAACTGACTATTCGCACGCGAAGCATTGACAAACTTCGGCCATGTGTTGGTGAGAACAAGGTACTTGATCTCCTTCTCGGCAGCATCAAACACCAGCTCATTAAACGCATCCGGCACCTCGACATCGGCAACAGACTCGTCGTCGTAAAGCTCGCCCATACGAGACACGGCTCTGAGGTTTGCGCGTCCGAGCTTGTCGAGGCTAATGGCGTTGGGAGATAGGTGGTTGCTTTTGGCGGAGACGTTGATGGGCAGATCGGAGGCGTCATCGGGCATGACGTTGTCGAAGGGTGTGGCGTCGCTGACGGATGACGATTCGGAGTTGCGGCGACGGCCGAAGAGGAGGTTTGCGGTCCTCTCAAAGACCATGTGGAGGAGTTTCATCTCCTTGGATGAAATGTTGATAGGAAATTCGGAAAACTCGAGGGAGATGAAGTGAGCGTAGATGCGCGTGGCGGCGAGGAACTGCCTGCGGCGGTGTTCGGCGATGGATGCCTTGGGGGAGAACCAGTAGAGGCGCCAGTCTGCGACGTGTGTGAGGAAGCTGACGTTTTCGCCTGTTGGATGTAGTCAGTATACGTTTGTGCAGTAATTGGGCGTGAAGGACTTACCAGAGAAATCCTTCAAAGCAGCAAACTGGAGCAGTGGCATGGCATTGGTCCTGAGTGCGTTCTCCAGGGCAGTCATGGTCAGGATGTCGGACTTTTGCGAGTCGAATGACTGGAATGACTGGTTGCCGATGCTGACCTCTCCGCCAGACTTGAGTGTGGTCGTGTTCGAGTATTCACTGGTGCTCTTGACGTCGATGGAGGCTGCGTCCAAGCCTGCCGATTTCTGGCGAGCTTCCCAGTTTGCGATTGCATCGAGAGTCTCTTGGCGGAGTTTATTGCCTCTGAGTACGTCGAGGATAGGGAAGCCGATGCTGGTGATCTCCATGATGCAGAAGCAGACCGAGAACCACACTGGTGGGGGGAAGACGGCGTTCATGGGAGCAAATGCAGGAGTGTAGAGACCGATGAGCCAGAGCGGAGATGCGGGAAGCCTGCGGGAGTCAGTGACGAACGCGAACAAGCAATTCTTAGTACATACCCAGCAACACAGCAGATAATGGTCTGCAGGCGCCAACCGTGTACATCGCGGATGCCTCGAGACTTGAAGAGAATCCAGGGCGCGTATACCCATGACCAGAACAGCTGCCATACGATGGATAGCCACCATTCCCAGCCCTTGCTGCACTTCATGCGCACTTCCATGCCGGTGCCGACAACGGTGTAATCGATGATACCAAAGCCACTGTGGAACTTTCGGGATGCGAAGTAGACAAAGAGAGTGAGGGCCATCTAGGCGATGGGTCAGTTTGCGTTTGTGTATTAGCTGTATGAGTCGCTCACCTGTACAGCCATGCCGATGCCGATGAAGATCAATGTTCGCTCGATGTTGTCGGCGCGCTCCATTCCATTCATGATCCTCTTCCAGCGACTGTTGACGACTTCCTGGGCCTTCTTCTCATCGATAGGCTCATGGTCTTTCAACGAGCTCATACGGGCGAAGTGCTTCTGGCGAGCTGCAAGGTGCAAGAACTGACTGTTCGAGGCATGGAACAGGGCCATTCCCAAGGGCACAAGAATCGACATCGCCCAGAACTCGACCGAGCAAGGAAATACAGCGCCGAATGGGTAGGCTAGGGGTATCAAGTCAGCACATGCTCGGGGTTGGCAGATCCACGTAATGCAAAAGCAAACTTGGATGTAGTAGGCGTGGGCGTACGTACATAGCGTGCAGAGGGCACCATAGATGTGCAGGACGGAAACACCAGCGAACAAAAGCGGCAGCCTTCGCATGCGCAGCGATGGGTGTTTGCGATGACTCCATAGCAAAGCGAATCCAGACAGCAGTGAGAGATTCCAAAGAATGAAGATGGTAATGTACGTCCAGCCAACGCCGTCGAGGACAAGGAGTGGGTTCACCATGGTGTCAGTAGGGGAATGTTCAAAGAGCGTGATGAGTACTGAAGCTCGCTGACGACACTGGTATCGTGAAGTTGGCAGACGCCTCCAACCTTATACAGACCGCCTCAGGCGTTGGAAGTTAATGAAAGAATCGGCGAGACGACAGGGCAAGAGGGTTCGCGGCATGGTGCAGGGTGCGAAGATCGACATTCTCTCCCGAAGATTCATCTTGGACGCGGGAGATGTGCCAGGGTGCGCGATGTCGATAAAGTTGTCAGTGTGCACCTGTCAGCAAACGATGTGCCGCTAGCTTCCACCGGATCGTAAGCCAGCGTCGGATACGGCTTCGCTCTATGCTCAATAGGCTAGTCTACGATCTGTCAACTGGGCATCCTGGAGAATTCCGTGGATCGTCATTTAATCGCCCAATACCCCAGGATCACATCCCTTCCAGATGATGCGTCCTTGCTTTCGTACGGTTGGGCTTGAAACACCTGGTTGGTGTGCGAGATGTTTTGTTTTTCTGCTCAGATGCCGACTTCTCGGAGACATTGACACCCTGCATACACAATTGTCGCGCGGAGAAAGGGTAACACAGCCACATCAAGGCTGCGAATTCTGTTCTCGCTCTGGTTGCCATTCCGCGCGGTCGCGTCGATCTCAGGAACATGAGTTCGCCGACCTCTAACCGAGCCAGAACGCCGACGTTTCTGGACGACCTATGCCGAATAGCTACATAGTTACACTCGTCATCAGTATGACTCGCCTCCTGGCAGCTGGCTCTCCCTGGCTGGCGTCCTCTATCCGGGTGCGCGGGTGTCCGGCCACGA